GGGATCTCAATTTTTACGGCAGCTCTTACCGCTTCCCGGTGAGAAGGGGTTAGAAAAGTTCCAAACCGTGTTTTATTGTCTGATAAAAAAAAATACACCCACATGCTGGGTCCTGGACCTTAGTGCTCAAACAAAAAGTACCCATAAAGGTACATCCAATCCCACTGGTGCTAAAAGTACTTTTACAACTATTACCCCCGGTCAACACATCTTGAAACTAACACCACTTGGCAATGTCAGTACGTGTCTAGTCTCCACCCGTATAGGTACTTATTAACACTCATAGGGGGGTAATTAGGGGTGAAATGACAGACCCCAAGATCACAACAGGTAGCCAGCATGATGACTCTGGCAAAAAGAAAGATTTCCAAGGCCTTACATGTGTTTGATCTCCAGGTACACCGGGACCTCGTTCATGGATCATCTGATGTCCCTGGAGGCCAACCCAGACGTCAAGATCTTGCTGCTGCTTGGAGAGGTAGTGCTCAGCAGTCGATATCTCTTTGGTCGCAATTAATCTCATCAGCCACTTGCAGAAAACTTCACAGCTTCAGGGTATCAGTGACGCGTTTCTACATTCGCCGGGGCCTGGGTTTCCATCCAGGTTTTTCCCCTCATCAAAAAACCTCCCAAATTAGATTGAGGGCGGTGTGTGCGATTGCCAAACAGTACAGAATGCTGAGAATTTTTCAGCCGTCCAAAATGTCCGGCTCCAGTTTTTGCTTGAGTTTGTAGACTCAAACTGAATGCTGGTTTCTTTTTCACTGCCTTGAATTTGGAGCCCAAATTTGGGTTCCTCTACAGATTGTAATTAGCTGAGTTTGAATTAGTTTTAATATTAATTAGCAGTATAGTTCGACATAAAGAGGGCTGATCTTCCTTTGTTAACCTCCTGCCATAGGCCTTTTGCTGAAGAGTCCCCTTTGCATTGTTTTTTTTTTTTCTAATAGTTTGGGGGATGTGAAGAACATGACGTCTGTGAGGCTTTGCGTAGCGGCCAGCTCAGCAAGCC